AACGTTACGCGGGTCACCGAGCAGGCAATGAACTCTGAGCATTATACGTGTTTACCTTACGTCTAGAATCCTTAATGGCTACGTGTAATTAGCGCCCACGATAATCGGCGTGGATCTAATTTCGAGTCTTCGTAATCGTACATCGATCGAGCACTATTTCATGGAACACCGATTCACAAACGAATCTCCTGAGAGTCTTTATTTTCATCACCGATCCCCTTGATTCCCGAACACGGACCACGTACTAAGTATCGTGGGCGAAGATCGTCAGCTAGGTCTTAATCAGAGAGTTTTTGGAATTCGTTAAGTTGCCTAAAACGATGAACGAAGAAACCGAAAAGAGAAACAAAACAAAAAGAAGAAGAAGAAGACGAAGAAGAAGAAAATCGTTCGTTTTCTCGAGAAATGCTTCCGTCTATTTCGAAGTTCGTCCGGTGTTCAATGCGTGATTCGTACAGGGTGTTCCAAATGAATAGATCACGACGAAAGAGAGCAGTCATTGATTTCCAAACGTTCGATTCGAGTCCGTTCGAGCGAACGAACTGACGCGTCGACTTTTATAAAAACCCGCCGATCGGTTACATTCACATTCGGAACACCCTGTACGGGAGCGACGCTCGCGGAACGGGCAGCCGGAAATGCGTGGTTCGCCGCCCCCGCGGTTTCGATATACATATTCCCTAAGAATGATTCTCCGCGTAAGTCTTCGTTAATTGAACTATGATCCTTAGACGTTAGAACATTATTGTACCAATTTCAATGCGTGAAATAATCCCGTATCTTCGCCGTCGCCGTACACAGTTCAAGACTATTCTAAGAAACTTACGATTGCGCCCCGCGCAACTCGATCGGCGCGGGGCGATAACAATGGAATGAGATTTATAAATGTACACATATAATCAAATAGCAGTCGATGTTTTTTTTTTCTCGTGAATGCACAGGCATAGTTCGTTCGTTTTCATCGTCCCGTTCTGTTCCCCCATCGATCGAGCGTTCTTCGATCGGTCGTCGAATCTCGCGTCGGATCTTCCACGGCTGAGTAAGGAGCTTTTTTCACCCGTTCGAATGATTATTCGGAGTGGATTGATTGTCGTGTCTAAGATTCTGGTGTGGAACATTCGACGAGCTTCGGGGTACTCGCCGACGGTACACGGTACATGATAATTCGGTGATACCATTTGGAATCGCTTGAATTGAATGGAGAAACCTGCTTCGCTTGCCCGCTGTGTTCGACGGTCTGGTGAACGTCTATAGTCGAGTCAATGAGAGAATTAACTGGGAAGATTGAATCGTTTGCTTAACACTTTACCTATTAGATCGTTTTTTAAATGTTCCTTTGAGAACCAATGATTAAGAGATCAGAATCTCTTTATTGATTTTTTTCTGAGTCAATCGCGGTTACAAAAAGGAAGCAATGAATTTTGTATAACTTAATGGAATAATTTTCTTTGTTTGTTACTTAAAGGAATATTTGTAAGTGTTTGTGAACGAGAACTTTTAGCTATTGAATTTTTAAATACCAGAAAGAAAACTGTATTTATTTTTTGTTTAAATAATTAGGATTTTAGGCACGAAAGTTTGCCAATATGACGACGTTCTTCTTTAAAGAGGCTTTGCTTTAATGGAATATAAACGGGGAATATATTAACAAGCTTTTCGTAGGTGAAGTGTTAACATTTCGTTGATATTGTTTGTCTTATTTAATGTTGAATATGTTTCTAATGGTAAATGTGAATTATAAAACTGAATGACCTCATCCTTGTACGGCTTTCGTTTGTTGTTCAGTTTGATTCTCGATGATGCACTTTGCTACTAGAACTAGTGAACGTGTGAAAATTGTAACAACAGTTTATCAAATGTATACTTATTTATAGGGGATCGTATTACTGTCTATAATATACGTAAATATTGGTTTCGAGTAACGAGTTTCCTCGCGTATTGTAGCTTCGTATATAGTTTCTTGAATTTAGGAATGATTGTAATATTTCTTATTTCCCGAACGTCCCTGTAGAGGTATTTTGTGGTATTGTTTCTCGATAGCGACAAGTAACTTATCTTATCTAAGTCGTATAAAACGAATGTTCAATGATTTATGTTAAAATTTTTAGCAGTGTGCCTGGTAACAATGAAAATGTTATTTACAACGAGAAGTTACTAACGAAATTGTTATACTTTTAAACAACTCAAAGATGACACGAAACAAAAAGTTACGCATGGATCACCATGAATCTGCAAGTCATCTATTTTATTGTTCATGTTTTCTTAGATGATTATATAAGTAAAAATACAATTGAAGAAACTGTAACTCCAAATCTAAGCATACAAAATATATTCTAAATAATGCGATAAAAATGTCTGATGCACGTACGTTGTCGAATAAAATGATTATTCCTGTTACTAAATAAGAATAAGATACAGTAAGATACTACTGAGGTGTGTGAATCAACCAAATTTTCACGTGATCACTAGTCGTAGTAATTTAACGATCACTGACTCTACCATAGGTCCGTCTTTCTTAATTAGTAAACAAGTGAAAAGAAAATGAACATACTCCATATGAAGAGACGAAGTTGTTAATGAACAATGAAACATTAGAATCATACAATTTCTCTCGTTACGTAATAATTTAATAACGGTAATAAAAATTAACACCATCTTCCATTTGTAGGCTTCTCAGTCGTTGCTGAAGAAACATGTCTTTCCTGCTGGATTAAAATTAAGTATACGCATACAACAAAGGAAGGGATGCTTGTACTATTTGTTGCAAAACAATAAACAACGTCGCAATGTAAAATAGCGATACATCGTTGAAAAGCATAGAACAATTGAAGTCGGAGCTTAACATATCCAGAACGACGGTGAATTTTTATAAAATATCACAAACCAGAATTCGATTAGTACAAAAACCTTTTCTTCTCCATTAATAACTCCTCTTTCGTTTAGTAATTAAATAACATTACAATCTATCAATGGATGCCTCTTTCACTTTTAACGTTCCAACAATAATGAAACAAGCTCTCCCTAACTATACCACGCTGTCCTGATTATGTTAAGATGAAAACAATATCGTTCGCATGAACATGCAAGGAACATCTCCAGAGATGCAAATTAAAATTACATTAAATTACATGTAAAATGCATGTCGCGTGTACATCTCTATTTAACGAAATAGATTGTCCCGCAAAAGCAAGAATCGAACGAACGATTCCTTCTTTTATCGGCAAAAGTAAAAAAAAAATGCTATTAAAAATGAACAGAATCCGTAGTCCATCTTATCTCGTGTGCTTCGCGTGTTCTACAAATATATCAGCATCCGCAGTATAATGGTAAACACACCAGTCAACGGGACAAAAATGTGTTTCCACCATTAACGTGTCGGTTCGCCGCGGTTCTCCATTCAAGTCCAATCGTCGATATTCACAGTCTTGTTCTCGAGACTCGCGTTTTTCAAGCGTCGACAGATTTTCGCGCGAATCTGGGCCAGCTATTAATATCGGCCCAGGATGAAGCGTGGCCCGGCTTCTTAAAACAGGAGGCACGGAAATCAGCTCGAAAGCTCGCAGACGCTTATCTTTGATCGACGCGAAAACAATTTAAGCTTCAGCATCCGGCGAACGTAAATCATTCATCGCAACGAGGATTTTCATCATGCGAACAGTATATGCGTGTGTACGTGTGTGTGTGTGTCTGCCAATGGCATCGAACAATCTGAATTCACTGTTTACCGATGAGAGAAAGATCTAAACCCGGAAGAATTTTATGTTTTGTCTACTGTAGCACTCTCCTAGTAACGTACGAAACCAATTTCTTTCACGTAAGTAGCTAACCAACATAAATTCATAATTTATGCTCTCGTTCCCCGGAGTTCATAATCATTCGTGTATTTTACAATACGTATTACAATGATGAAAACATTGGATACCCATCAGTTATTCCCGTGGTAAATATATAACTGAAGAAACAAGGATACTTCGTCCGTGGCAATCACGTTTCAAAATGGTTATATATTTCCCTATCAACCTAAGAGAAGTGATCTTGAAATTCTGATCAATTATATACATCACTTATTACATATATACATCAATCACACGTAAACGAGATGTGGCCTCTCATGGCGACTTAATACTCGAAAGGAGCATGTCTTTTAGAGCGGTTCTCTCAATTGGAATTGAAATTTTAGATTGAACGATTCGAATCTTAAATTTCCAATATAAATACAAGACGTTAAGATTAAGAGTTGTCGAATATGATTAGTTGAATCTATAAACCGATCACATAGACGCGGAACAATAAGACTCTTCACTCGAATCCGAAGATATTAAATAAATCTTAAATAAATCTTAAACGCGAAACGCTAAATACAATGTAAAAATCTCGATTTATATACAGTCGTTCGTCTTTTATCAATGGGACGCGGGTGAAAACAATCTGCCATGCATGATAAAATAAAAGTGGCCATGAGTGGACACCGGTTTTTAGAATCCGTTACCGTAGAAGCCTTTAAAAAAATGTCTTTTATAAGCGTACGTTCGTATGAGTCCAACAGGTGCTGCCTTTATTCTCCCTCAATTTTTACAAAACTACAAACTCTCATGACAAATGAATTCGAGAATATTGTTCGACACAGGGGCAACAACTACAGATACCTCGGCACATCGTAAATCAAATAGTTTCACCGTGAAACGTTTCCCCATAAAAGGATACGCCCTCCTCGCGGATGTCTCCGACAAGATTCTGAACGTGAACCTTGCGGCATCCAGAATTCCCTTTCTCTCCCTCCAGCTTCTTCGCTCGATGACGAGGAACATAATCATCGGTCAAAATCAAAGTTAACAATCATTCTATAAGACGACGTGGACTAGCCAATGATGACCTAAGGCAATTTACTTAACAAATCGTCCTTATCGTGGATTACACGCTAATTTGGGTGTCGCGAAGCGAAGTCGATAATTGAATTCCCTGTCAGTAATGAGTTAACAGACTGTTGGCCTCTCTACTCCGTTTAATTTGGATCCTGCAGTCACTGGCTGTGATATCACCTGACCCCAGGTCTGGTCGGCGGAATCGCATGCAGTTATCGTTCACTGAAACGCGGGCCAGACCCGTGCGCGGGTTCCTTATGAGCTATGTATTCTCTTGGCGAGCTCTCGCCATGACTGATTCCCCTAGAAACTGGAGGACCGATTGCCCGACAAAAATTCTTCGTGTTCGGTGTTTTCGTCAAGCAATCGATGCCTTCCCTCGTTCCCTCTCGCCGTCTCGTTTCTCGTCGATCCTAAATTGATGGGGGTTCCTTGTCGCAACGGTGCACAAATCCGTGCTGCTGTTGGGGTCATCCGCTCGAGTGCTCGGGAAGCAGTATGCTAACCGATTTACGATTCGCCGATCCGTTGGTCATCACGTTGCCCGCCGCCAGGGCCGACGGAGGTCGATGCGATGGCGCGACCACACGCACTTCCGGTCTAGGGGACGCTTCTCTCAATGGGCTGCCCACGTTTGCTAGGTCGTCCGAGTTCGCTAACGCGGTGGGTCTGAAATTCAGAGTATCAGATTATAACCTTCTCCCCTTTACAATATGTATTGTTTCGTATGAAGCTTGATATATTTCATCGTAATAAATTAACCAGTTAACTGTGTTTCACGAGTATACACGTCACCGTAAAGCTTCACATTATACTAATTTTTTCACCGATGAATTCTTTAGTTTTTCACATAAACATGTAATTCTTCTTTGTTTCGCTTTGATCTTTCATTAAAATATACTCTACGCGCATTCGTCCTGCGTTCGATGAATACACGCTCCAGTTTTTTATTTTATTGCGCGCAGAACGAGAGGTTTTTCCAACTAAATTCCACAGTTAACTGGTTAAGAAGGAAATCAATTTTGATGTTTATGTCTAACTCTACTCCAAAGGTTAACGATTGCTAATAGAATAACATTTACTTTATATTTAAAACGAATCAATAACACTCAAATTTGTCGAATTCAGTTGAAAATTTTCGTCACGAGTTCGACACGATATTGTAGGTCAAGGGATTAAATTAACCTTTTGCACTCGGAAGTTTCTCACTAGAAATGTTTCACATTTTTCGACCAGGCGAAGACTATATTCCTTGAAACTAACTCGAAGGGAAATCACAAGTATATCGAGGAATTCCAATATTACACGTATCAAGGCATTATAGAAAATTTGACATTAAATATCAGATTTTATAGTTTTACCGCGTCAGATCAAATGGCGACTGAGAGTCGCCTTCCGGTGCAAACGGTTCACGTCGAATGCCAAAGGATTTCACGTAGCAAACTACATACAACTGCGTACAACTTTTTTTTTCTGTTTTGCGTTTAGACACACACCTCTGTGAATATACGTCAGTAGCTAAAGAGTTAAGCAATCGATATATAATTTAACTTCATCCGCTGAAGCTTTTGCACATTTCAAAGAATCTTCGGCCGAAAAGGGTTAATCAATTGACGCGTTTCGTTAAATTCTCTGACGCGTTCACCGCTGAACGAATGACTCATGGAAATTAGGAAGTTAGCCTGTCGTGCAATATCGTGTGACTTGTGAACGTCGACGCTAGAATTCGGATGGTAATGAACGTGTCAACGCGTCCTTCATTTTTTCTCATTGACTTTTCTGTGAAAGTGAAGAAGACGTGCCCCACAAAAATGCTGAATTATGTATATTGTCACATGCCATTGGGCATTCCGCCAAAATTGATGGAAGACTGGATAAACAATGAAGCTAATCGATGGGAAATTCTGTCATAAATATTGAAGCTTATGTGCTCTGTAAACGGTCTAACCGGGAGGTAGCTATTCTGTCATAATTAAACCTGCGCACACAATGAAGCCCAAAGGAGGACGGTTGTCCTATTTTGAAATTCATCGCGATGGAAACGTAACTATTCAACTAACGAAGAGTTTAAACATCGAAGAATCAGTGCTAACGATCAAAACAAACAAAGAGCACTGACGTTCCTACGTATATTTTTAGACTCGTAGTTCTAGGAGTAGACACTTAAGGAAAATGTATCATTTTTATAATTAATTTTAGAGATTTCTATGAAATTTGATTTCAGAATATTCGTCTAACTGTTTATAGCTTTAATTTATTAAATATTTGTCTTTACAGCTTGCATAAACACGTAAATTAACATACATATAAATTCTAATGATTGAACTAAATTATTAATGTCTTATCTAAATAGATTACAGGATTATAAATTAATTGAAAATAGTTATTAACAGTACTTGCTAATTAAACCGTTGCTTATGGAAGCTGATAGTCTGATTAGCATGCTTTTTTCAGAATTAATTTCAATCTCGATGCTCATGCACCGCCGGAAATTAGCGAGACCAACACCAATTACGTTGCAAGAAAATTAATTGCGGTAACAGTATTACCGAACTCATACTCTGACACTGCGTCGCATGTCTACCACACTGTCATTGATTACCACGCGTGGTATAGCCGGAAGGCGAATAGAAAAGCTCCGGTACTAATTAAAAAGATATGTGTGATTACGATAAAACTGTTTTTCGCGATAAAACTATAGTTTTTCCGTTTTCTGTTTGCTAAGGTACTGGACACTTTAGTCTCAACATTATTTCTTAATTACGCTATTTTTATTGAATAATTTTATCATTGTATTATATTACTGTTTATTATTAGTATATAATATTATTATATCACATAATAATAATATAATAAATATTAACTAAAATATAACGAGTATTTTAGTTCGTTTCCATTGTCCGCGCGACTGATACGGGAATATTTTTGAAAAGACAACCACCTATATTTATGTTTTATTGTAACAAAAATAAACTATAATATATATAATTATTATATAATAATATAATTATATAATATTCCAATACAATTTTATTATTACTTAATAATTATCATATATATTATATTCTTCTTACAAATATAAAAAGAGGTGATTGTCTTTTCGAAAATATTCCTGTATCAGTCGCGCGGACAATGGAACCGAATTGAAATACTCGTTTGGGCGTGAAATTTTAGCGAGAAACAGGTCAGTCTGAAAGAACTCAGCTGCAGGTAATTGCGAATTTACATGTTCCATCACGCGGCCAATGAATAAACTATCCGTCGTTTCCTTTTCCGTGTCTCGTTCGTTTAGTATGCGACAAAAGGCAGATTCCGTTTTTACATTCGGCGCATTAGCATCGAGCATTCTGAAAAATATTAACGAAGCCGTATCTCGATCGATATTCCGTGATACGCGTTCGCTTTGATCAATATTCATGGTCCCGCGGATGCTTCGAGCGCGACGCGATATGCGGCAAGATAAACGCGCAGCATAAAACATGGACGAACAACGTTTATGGAGCGACATCGGCCCGCTTATTAGATTTTCGGCCGGGAATCGAAAATTCGATTACTATCCTACACAGCATTATCACGGCTGCGCCGTGGTATATCGAAAACGAGACACTCCATCATGGTTTCGACAGTAGCACTGTAAAAGAAATCGCAAGGTTCGATAGAAATTATTTAAGGGAAGACAACATAGAGGCGTCTCAAAAATTTTCTTATTAATAACCATCAAGTGGGAACTTATGATTTTTCCTCTGGGTATAAGTGCGATATTTTTCCTAAGCCACAGTGTTACAAAATGGCGCAGTTATTCGCTAGCTTCGTAAAACATCCATTGTTGCTCGACTCGATCGCAAATAACTGAAACATTCGAAGACAAGAATTTTTGTGGATTTATAAGTAGAAATATATTACCCAAAATGTAGCGTGTTTTTTGAAATTTTCATTATCATGGAAATGGCGAGTATTTGAAGTGCGAGAACCTGTTCTTACGCCAAAAAATTAGATTCGACTATTTATAAAATATTAAGTAATTGTGATATTGAACAACCCATACGATACGTGTTAGATAATATATTTCATTGTAGTTGATAGAAGACTGTTTTAAATAATCATGTTTTACGTGGCATTAATAGTCAGCTTCATTTTTATTTCCTGTGTCATAAGACCATTAACTGATCATAGTAAATTATGTTTAAATGCCAAAAATTGTTTGGAATAAGTGCACTTATGGCTGTTAAGTAATATAAAGTAAAAACTAATGCACATGAGAAAATAAGTACTACTGGTACATTAAGAAAAATGAAAATAAAAAGTGTCATCGGTGAATCGTCATAGTTAAAAATATCTATTATGATATATATTTCGAAAACTAAGAGAAAACTACGATTTGCTCAGTTTTACATATCGTTTGAAATAAGGTACAAATGTTCCTTTTCAGAAGTGTGACCTAAATACGAGCAATCCTTAGAATATGCTAAAATAAAAGTAAATAATACTTCGACTGGCAAATATTTAAATCTCCTCTACACCGTGTCTTTTACCTTACAGACAATTTTATCCAACAATTACCCCTTTGCACTCGAGGGTGACTCTCAGTCACCACCTTGATGAAGTAAAATTACAAAATTTGATATTTAATATTGAACCGTGTACAAAGCATCGGTGCATGAGTTATTGGAATAAAAGAGCTTTGTTTCTCAATTTACTTGATTTCTCTTTGAATTAATTTCAAAAATATCATCTCCGTCTAGATAGAAAGTGCTAAGTATTTCTAACGAAATACTTCCGAGTGCAAAGGGTTAATGGACACTTCGCAAATTATTCCGAAAGATTAATGGAAAAAATATTAATTTTTCAGCTGCTGCGAAACGAATCGAGGGAAGCAGAAGACGAGCACCGCGAAGAGATAAGAGTCGTTATCCAGCAGTAACATAATATACGACCAGTATTAAATGAGCGCCTTATTAAACCACAGCGGGAAAGCGGCGCATCTCTCTTATCCGACTCGGGTCAACACATTTTTCTTCGTTCGAGCGAATTCATTAAAGGAGACTTACAAATTCTTAAGGCCGCATCGCGAGTTTTCTTTTTGCGTTCGTGTATGTACACAGGGTTATCCTTCATTATTCATTTATTTGTTGATCAACATTTTGGAACACGCATTAAAATAATAGCCTGCTGATATTTATGCAAACTTCAATTTGTAGGATCATAATTAGATAATAGAATTATAGAAATATTTCCTTTTAACAGAATTTATAGACAGCACTGGGAAAACAGAATTCCAGATAACAGATTTGCCTAACAAATATCGAAGATATGAAACAAATAGAATTATGGTTGAACATAGTTCTTGCAAACCAGTTTTATAGATAGCACTGGGAAAATAGAATTATTATATAAGTGTTATACTTGTTAATAAATTTTACAGATATACTGTGGATGTTTTATTCATTTTTTTTATATAGTAAGCATTTCGTGCAATTTGGAACTTTTGAATTTTCTAATAATATGTAATTTCGAGATTTTCAGATGAAAATCATTCGAAGGTCACGGTATAGTACATTCTTGGAATGATCTCGAGATTTTGATCTCATTTATTATCAATAAAATCCTTGATGATCTTTAGATGACTTTCACTTTAATGGTTTACTTTCCTCTTCGAAATATAAAAAACTTTTTATATCTGAACGAATAAAAGAATAATTAAACATGGTAGATTTAAGAGGGCCGTTCTGCGCAAAACACGAATGTGAAACGTGTAAATAAAGCACGAGATACAGTTTTAAATTCAATTTCCTTTCCATTTCAACGTCAACGCTATCAGAAAGGGTAATCTTTGATTCAACCGCAATCTATGAAAAAACTATCAAAGAAATACTTTGTTTTGCATAAAATTCTGCACTCCACTTACGGCAGGCAGTGCGAAGTCTACTTTCTTTTAAACAAATGAAATAGGTTAGTACTTTCAAAAGTAAATCGCTGTATTCTATATCCAACGTTGCAAAACTCGTCGTACAAGAAGCGACACGCGGAGAAAAGTTCGCATTGTTTAGTTTTATTCTTTCGAGTGCAAGAGTAGGTTTATTGAGACTTCAATTGACTTACAATTCTTTAGTAACTTCTCAAAGAAGTATCCACCTTTCCAATAATTACTAATACATAATTTCAATAATTACTATATAGTAAGTATTAGTAAAACAAGAAACCACGGGTCGATTTGATCCATCTGGTACTTCTAATGTTAAACCTTTGCGCTCGAGAGGTAACTCACTCACCAGATTTCATACTATAAAGTCTGAAACAAACTCTAAACTTTGATATTTAATATTACACTTCGTATAACGCATCAATCTGTGAAATATTGAAATAAAATAGCATTGTTCCCTAATACACGTGTGATTTCTCTCCGAGTTTCACGAAATATCGTCTTTATCTCGTTAGAAAATCTTAACACATTGAACGCCGGCTAAATTTCAGCTACTAGAAACGGGAGTGTCGATGAATATAATTTTATATTTTTAGACATCAATCAAACCGAAATTTGTAACTTGCGACAAAGAATAAGGAATTCGATTTTGTCATATTAGTTTGGATTTGTGTCATACATATCTAAAACGTTACATTAACACATTGTCTTAAAATACTTCTACTGAGAAACTTCCGAGTGCAAAGGGTTAAACAACTGTAGACGGTAGAGTGTGCAGTGTGGCATTGACGAATCAGCACGAGGAGCAACTCGGGTTGTACGACGAACTGAGAAAAATCGGCGTTCTGCCTGGTAAACCGACGTTGACGAAGGTTTCATGAAACCAAGGAGCCGACGCGTGCATCGAAACATGTCTCGACGCGTGCAGGGGCCATAACGAATGAAGAAAAATTACCAACCTGTGTTGCGGGGGCGGCGTAGGCGTTCTTGATAGAGGAAAGCTGGCGACTTCTCTCGTCACTGATAGCGAGCGAATCGATCCAAACGTTTGGTCCGGAGATAAATTAGCACCGACGCTTTGCACCATCCCGCTACTGAAACAGATCGATTTGTTCACGTCATAGAAATTCATGTAACGGGAAACGAACAGCATGGAAAACAACTTCCCTGCGACACGAGTGTCACAATTAATTTGAATTGAAACGACGAAATTCTGCGAACCTTTAATGTTTTGTTTTCCCAGTGGGATTGTTATTGAACATTTGAAACCTGCTGTTTGAATGTCTGAAAGATGAAACGGTTTCTGAGTGGAAAATTGTTGCAACATTGTTTAGTATTTTGGTGGTCCAATTTTACAGCTCCATTATATAATTCTGTTTAATGTATTTTAACCCTTAGTACAAAATGTGGATGTGTAAAAGATTCTAATAATCTTAAAGTTTCTGAAAGATTCATTAAAATATTTAATACTATGACTGATACAATATTGAAGCCTACAGAGAAGGGGAATAAAAGATCTAAGAAATGTTACAACATTGTTCATTTTCGTTAGGGATATTGAAAATTGATTGGAGTTGGTGATAGATCACAAAACCATCTGGAGTGCTAAGGGTTAACATCTGGAACTTCGTTTGTGTTTTAAAAAAATGTAACTTCTATTGGTAGTACCTTGTAAAACGACACGTATTATTCTTTGTTTTATAGAGTATTTTGATGTTTCCATTCATTCATTTGCAACTGTTTGTAATTATTTCTTTCATTGAACATTGGTAACTAAGAATACTTGAGAAATCTTCAAAACAGTTTAGTTTCCGAAACGTCACTGAATACAGATTATAACAAACACAGTGTATTCCTTCCCTTAAATATAAATATTAACTGAAATAGCACAAAAGAATTATTGAATTTAAAATAATTATTCAAATGAAATTAATAATTATAAATACTTATTTACATGAAATTAATAATTATAAATACTTATTTAAATGACATTAATAATTATAAATACTTATCTACATGAAATTAATAATTATAAATACTTATTCAAATGAAAGTATTAATTATAAATACTTATTTAAATGACAATAATAATTAATACTTCCTTAAATGAAATTAATAATTATAAATATTTATTCAAATGAAATTAATAATTATAAATACTTATTCAAATGAAATTATTAATTATAAATACTTATTTAAATGATAACTCTTATTTAACAATTGGAAATGCAAATATCATGAATACTAATAGGCAGTAAATTGAAAATAGAAGGCAGGAGAAAATAGCGAACTGAATATGGAATCTGCTCCACGCTCGATTTCAGTCTCTTAAGAACACTTCCCTTATTCAAAACACAAACTATGTCCTGTTCGGTTCAAGTGTCTGTATAGTGGGCGCACAGCCAAGTTCTAGTCCGCAATCTGAAAAGGTCACGGCGTGATAAGAAAGAATTCCATATTGAATTTTACAGCCATCACATTTCGTTGATTCGAGTGGTTTCTCGGCAGCAATTAAGTAAAATTCTTTGCACGGCCATTCGTGTTCAGCTTCGTACAATTTTTCTCGAGGAGTTAATTGCCGGTTGATTGAAAATGGCGCACAACGGAATACAGTAAATACCGAAACTCTATTTAAGAAGAGAAAGTTCTGCTGCTCCGCTAGCGCATTCTTCTTGACACGTGATACGTTTTATATAGGCAAGAGGTATTTGCAGCATTCAATTGTAGGGTGTTCGACTACAAATGGGTTTTAGGGCGCGGTATTGCACGCCGGTTAAAATGGAAATTAATGGTAACCGAATCCCAGTCGAGAATTAACAATTAAACATTTTTCTGAACTACCGTGATCCCAAGATAGTGATGCGCGCGAGGCAGCTCACCAGCAATACGAACAGTAACCTGCCGAAGATAGATGTTTACTTGGAAGCTATTAGGTTTAACACGTTGACTGCCACGAAAATTTCTAGCGTTTTGTATAGTAATACTTATTCTTTAATAACAAAGGTAAATTGTATTGAAAATAATTATTAACCAGTTAACTGTGAAATTTATTTTAATAAAATAAAAAAAAGGAGCGTGTACTCGGGGAACGCAGAACGAATGCAAGTAGAGTATATTTTTAATGAAAGATCAAAGCGAAACAAAGAAGAATTACATGTTTATGTGAAAAAATAAAGAATTCATCGCTGAAAGAATTAGTATCATGTATACGATGATGTGTATACTCGTCAAATACAGTTAACTGGTTAATGATTTGGTATCGCAGTAATTATATTACACTATTATCTAGCTACTTACGTTACTAAATATCATTATCTAACATCAATCTTTTTATTGCAATTGTTCTTTAGCAATTTGGAATCTCCGGTCATCGGTGACCACCGTGGCGGTAAGGTCAACGTGTTAATTAATTTGCTACTTCTGTATTCAATCGATTACAAATCTAGCTTTACACTAGAATTACCGAGCATTTAACCCTAATCGAACCACGATGTGACTTTGTCACATTTGAACTTTTCACTTAAGTTTTTTGATCATTTCATATTGCATTTCCAAAAGTTTCTTGGGCCTTTTAAAATTTGGGTCCTATAAACAAAAACAATAATATTTTAATCATTCCTTTTATTCTCATAAGTGACTGAGAGTCACATCGTGGTGATTCGTTATAAAAACACGTGGTACGATTAGGGTTAATATGATTAGTATGTAATCCCTATAAAAATTGCAACAATAGATTATTCTCAGTTTCTTCAAACGTTCATTATAGTACTCAAGTGATACTATTTATTTTCAAAATTATTTCGAATATTCAATGCTTTGAAGGTATTACTGATCGCTGAACAAAAAGATATGAACCAGTTATTTTGACTGTTACGTAGTTCTAGTGTTAATCATTTTATTATCAATGGCTTCTTCTCATAAATTTAGATTACAATCTAAAATCATTTACGACAAACTTGTATCGAAGGAAAGTATACCACAATCTTCTTATAAAAGATAACAGTTTTTAATGGATTGAAGATCATCAAAAATAACAATTCTAATCCATTGGAGTATCGTTTGATTGATTATATATCTTGTTTTGGAATTATGCAATCTTATTTTCATTCAGTTTTCCTTACAATGTTGATATGAATGATGCGAATTGTTATTATTAGATGGCACAGCCTGTGCGTATGTTACCACACCTTTCATTCCATTGATCACGACAGAAACACATGATCAAGTGTTAGTCAAGTTTCATTGTTAAATTGTGAAATAGAAATTATAAAAAGCAGCTTCACATGCATCGAGCAGGATACCATGGAAGGCTCGGATCAATACCCTCTCCAGAGCAGGTAGGAACTTCTATAGCGATTCCCGTCTGGACTCGATGGAAGGGAAAATACTTGGGCGAGGTGGATAGTTATCGATATACAGGGTGTTCTGTCAGATCTCGTGCATCTGAATATCTGAATTCTATTTAATGAAACGAACAAACGTACAGCTTGCACAGAGTGCCACTGAAAACATTTCTTTCAATAATCGCAATTGAAAGACATTGATTTCTATTTTCAGTACCGTTTGAAGCAGTGTTACACAAAATTTGTAGTATTTACTGTGTACTATTAAAACAATACATTAGACAAATATATTGTATTCTTGGTGCTAAGGTTACACGCGTATTTCAAAATCTAGCGAATAAAAGTAAAGAAAATAGTAAATAGAATGAGTAAATAGAAGAGAGTGAAATAGTAAATGAAATTAGTAAATAAAAGTTAATAAGTAAATACAACAGTAAATGAAATAGTAAATAAAAGTACATAAAATATTTTCTATTTCAAATATTTCACCCAGACCCAGGAATTATGACATAGTACAAGCAAAAATTACTCCATTCACCGCGTTTTTGGAACGGTAGATTGCTACCAGTGAACCCTAATGTGCCAACCTACGCTGATCAGCGTACTATCTAGCATTTTTTGATATTCACCCGTACCGCTTCCATCGAGACCCCTTGTATATCCAAGCGAAACCGAGCATTTCGAGATGCCGACTTATGAATTATTCAAAATGAGGTGGCACAGCAGAATGTCGAAGTTGTAGCCGACAAACCGGCTTCCCCTCTGTTGCTAATGCATTTTCTCTCGCCGAATTGCCCGTAGTTTCCGCGTGGAGAAGTTCCGGCAAACTTGTTAAACCTACGCGTTCTCCTCGTGGGTTTTAATGCCGTATCGATGCCGACTTGTTAACAGAACTTTTAATTGCGAAAGAATCGTCCCCGCTTGCTGGCAAACCGGATAAGAGTCACGCTCGAGCGAGCCGCGGGGATTAATGAATCTCGACGTCCGGCGAATGCCTGCAATTAGACGATTAGGAGGCGATCCCGATTCAATCGGAAGTCTAGAAGCCATTCTCGTTATACAATAGACGCATAACAGCGTTTCACTTGGCGGGGTGATTAACAACGAGAAACAAAGGCTAGATGTGATTAATGAAGTGGAAAGGTTTCGGGGGCCGTTTTAAGAGTTTCGGCAGTGAAACAGGAACTATTCAATTTAGAGATTAACGACGTGAAATAAAAGGCAGAGAAAATTAATAGAGAAAGGGTTGAGCGCCATTTTAAGAGTTCTAGTAGTAAAACTTGGAAATACTCAATTCGACGATTAACAACGTGAAATAAAAGGTAGAGAAGGTTAATGGCGAAAAAGGATTGACATTTTTCAGTTTTGGGGGTAAAATTGGAAATATTCGAGTCAGAAATTAACGGCGTGAAATGAGAGGTAGAGAAAATTAATAGAGAAATGGATTGGACGCAATTTTTCGGTAAAATTGGATATATTCCTAATATTAATGAATTAATTTATATTAATAAAAATGTGATACTCTATATTCTTCATTCTAAGAATCCGGCGACATTAAGTATTATGGCACTAAAGTTAGAAAATATTTAAAAAATGGAACGATTCATTTTCACTTGTAACTTACGTGTCGAAAAGGCATTGATAAAAATCTGATAACCCTATATTCTTCATTTCAAAACAAATGCTGTTAAGATTTGTTCTAAATGTTTCGAGGCACTTGAAAATCTAGGTTCGTGGTAACGGAACGTGTCGCGTCTACGCTTAACGCGGACAAACGGTGCTTCCAGTCACTGATGAATTAATTTCAAAATTACAGCTTCAGAAGTTGGCTTATTGTCACACGGTTTTGGGAAACACGCGAACTTCCCGGAATCCTGGTTTCCAAGCTCAATAGCGGTTGACGTATCATAAACCCCAAGACGCAACGCTGCAGTTAACGGGTCCGCGCAACCCCTTTAGGCTTAATCCCTTGCGGGTTACCTCGTAACGGATTTCACCTTTACATGCAGTACCGGGAACGGAAGCTCTATCAGTTCGTCAAGTGACTGGTTACAACTAGCAAATTGTATTACCGTCCCTTGGGCCAGTTTATATTAACTTATTTGCATCGGGATTCTTTTCCCTGATGTATTCTTTAGCACGTTGACAACTCTGGAAATTTTCAGTGTTTGTATAATGTCACTCATTATTTCATAATTACAAATCGCGTTAGAATTGGAAATTAATGATTTAGTATGATTGTTCTTAAGGTGCACTGTTATTTAGTTACTTGTGCAAAATATTTTGAGTGTTTGTATAATGTCACTTATTATTTCATAAGTACAAATCGCGTTAGAATTGGAAATTAATGATTTAGTATGATTGTTCTTAAGGTGCACTGTTATTTAGTTACTTGTGCAAAATATTTTGAGTGTTTGTATAATGTCACTTATTATTTCATAAGTAAAAATCCCGTTAGAATTGGAAATTAATGGCTTAATATGATCGTTCTTAAGGTGCACTGTTATTTGGTTGTGAAAAATATTTGCATTTGACATCAGTTTTCTGACAATTGTTTTCGAGCAATTGGAAGACAGGTATTGCCTTTGATAATAAATTGAAAAAGAATCCTAGGATCACTATAGAACTAAATTTCTTGGTTAGCTCACGCAGTTGAAAAGAGAATTTAGAAATAAAGGGAAGATTATAAGTCTACGTTTACTGTGGAGATTACATGCTTACACGAGAAAGATAATATTTAATTTCGACTTGGAAGAAGAGAATAATGTTTATGTTTGTTAAATTCAGTTTCTAAACTTCTCTAGTTCCATTCAGTGTTATAAGGCTATGAATTAATTCCTTTGTCATTTTCGTCACGGTTAAACTTTTGACAATTTATGGATCGAATGTGTTATCTTTATTTTGTCATCTTCTTATAAAGTGATGAGATCTTTTATAAGAAAAATCTTGTTTCAGTACTTTAGTCGTATCAACATTGAATTATTGAAAAATAAATTTTCTATTTCATGTTTATAAGAATTGTTGCCTGGATTATTTTGTACGCATAAAATAGTAGAGAGAATTCGACGATCTAACGAAAAATGAATTATTTCTTCTTTTTAATGCTGATTGTTTTATTCGAAGTGCGTTCTGGTTTGTTGAGATGTGTTTAATGTGTGCAACGAAAGGTCATGCAATGCCATGGATGTCTAACAGAGCTGGGTCAACGTGAATAGCTCGTTTACTTCTAACTGCGTGGTTTTGTATAGCGGACAAGTAGGATTTAGCGTGCCGAAGATGCACAATTCAAAATGGCCGTGTCACGCCGCAAGACGCGGCTTTCCTTACATTTTATGGTAAAAGATGTCGAGGTTAAGAATGCTTTAAAATTTTAATGATATCATTGGAACCTTAAAAAGAATGTTCAGGGCATTCTTTTTATTTATCTTCAAGAATTCTATTTCCTTATCCTCTAATATATGTCTCTTTTATTATAATTATTATATCTACAATAACCGACATTAAATATTCCGTACAATTAATTATTAACTTTATACGAATGATAAAGATTACAGTGGAAAATTATATTGTCAACCTAATGTAGATATTATAATCAAGATAATTTTTCTGAATTTAAAGCGTTCCACAAAATTGGGAACACTTTAGCGAATTAAAAAATAATCATATATTATAACTGTTACAGCATTCAAATAGAAACGGTTACAATATTTAAAATAAAACTTCGAAATAAGATAATATACACTTAAATTTGAAATCGTATAAAATAATTGGAATTATCCGAAGAATAGTGAAATTAAAATAAAATAAAAATGCAGCCATTGCTGCAACATTTAACACTAGAACTGCCGAGCAATCAAATTGATATTTTCAAATGTTTATATAGGACCTCCAAGAATGCAGCTATTGACATTTCAATTGACCTACGATTCAATTTGCGTATTAAGAAACCAATTTCTTCAGTAATTCTGCAGAGAAGCAACTGTTATCTTTTTAATAACTGTAGAAGTATTTATAAATGGGCCAATTTGACCCATTTGGTAGTTCTAGTGTTAAATACTACATTGTCTTTCGCCAACGGGTAATAGTCACTAAAACTTCGAACTATTTCAATTCGATTCCGAGAGCATCGGACTTGAAATGGACAAGATGGCGCGTTCATCTCTCCCACCTACAAAAACTTCACTGCCTAAAAACTTCGAAGGGAGAACACTCTCCGAGACAGAATTGTTTGACTCAAAGAAATGTTTGAGACGACCGACAGGAAACCATTCGCAAGATTAGTTTTCCCCAGATTTCCAGGATTATTTGCATATTTCGTTAATGAGATATCTTTTTATGTAATATCGTTCAGCTTGTTACAATATATTTCGCAAAGCTGCATTCTCATGACTTTCAAATACCTTTCAGAAAGAAAAGTTACTTTAATATCGACGATTATTAATGTGGTATCAACACGATAGCTATCCAGCCTGCAACGCATTCGTGGCTAGAAAGGACTCCGATGCAGAATTTCCTAATTAGTCTTGAAAGCGGTATTTCGCGGTCAAGACTAAAAACATGTTTGCGCTGATTTTGATCAAGGAAACTTTGCTTTCTATGGTAAAATTCAATTGATCACCGTGATTCGTTATAAACAATGTAATTATAATAAATGTGTAATAATTCTTTAAACTGCGTAAAGAGGAACTACTGTCATTATCTTCGTCATCGAACTTTTCTACGAAATACCGAAAAATACGATTAAAAAATGTAAAAATATATCATTATAATTCGTTTAATTCTATACTCTTCGGAACATGTAATTTTCCAAATCTCTACTGTAATCTACTTTCATGAAGTCCCATTTTACAATTTTTTTGAAGATTTTTATACGTCGTGAATAAATAAAGCTCGTAGTCTAATGATATCTAACTAATTAAGATAACTGACTACTTTTCACCTCACAATTCTAATTTAAAACGTTAGTTCCGAATAATATTGAATTATCTGAAAGAATATTTTTGATATTCAAAAGTTCAAAGTGTTATTATTAAATAATAAATTCCAAAGAAAAAAGAACACAATATCTTTTTCCAATATATTGTAATATAAAGCTGAAAATTTAATTTCTAACCAGGAAACGCCGTTGCTCTGGATATCGTACAGTGAATTAACTGACACGAGAGATGGATCAATTCGATGATCCCCGGAACTTATCACTTTAAATTTTTTCTGTGGGGTCACAGCGAGCGATAACGTTTCCCGCGATCGTATATGCAACGTACCGAAATAACGCGTGCTAATTTCGCCGTGCGGATACTCTCCACTACTCTTCTCTAATCACTACCTCGCGTTTCCGAAAGTGTGTTAAAGGTCAGGGCTACGATTTTGTTCACTTGGTGTAGTCGTATTCTTCTAAACATATTGAATCATATATTTTATAATGTCTTCATTGCTTCTAATTCAGAGGAAGCGTCATTGTTAACCACTTGCTTGGCAATTTATTTTGAATTAAACGTTCCCGTTTACGTTATTTAATTTTGTCAGAACAATTAAATTTATCTACGAAAATGATATAAAATAATTGTAAAATAACTTGCGAAATCCAGTTTCGCACTGACAGTACGAGTAAGTGACTGGTCATTTCAGTTCAAGGGGTTAATGTAGATTATTTTTCTGAAATAGTTAATAACACTCAGAGCATTACAAGCTTCGAATAATGAGAAACCTATGTTTCATAATTATTATTTAGATAAATACTGGATGTATCTGCATTACAGAACAATTGGAACGATATACAAGCACAAGTTTTGTGATGTAATAAAATTTATATTAATTGTAGATTGATGAAATTACACTAAAATATTTTGTTAGGTGTGTAATACATAATAGATAATATTTGGCAGTATTAGCTATCAAACATTTAAGACGATTGATATTTAATCTTCATAAACATTATAATAATAGTTTTATTTTATTTTTGTAGTTTCTACAGATCTTCACCATAGTATTCAAACGAAGCTATCTTCAAAATAATTTCGGATATTTAACACTTTTCAGATATCAATCATTGCGAAATGAGAAAACTAAAATTAATCAGTTCGTCGGTACTGTAGCATTAGTATTAAACAATTTACCTTGAAGATTGACATCTAATCCTTATAAACATTGATATATACATTTGTATAGTTTTTTCAGATATGCATCATAGTATTCGAACGAAGCTATTTTCAAAATAATTTCGGATATTTAACACTTTTCAGATATCAATAATTGCGAAATGAGTAAAATTAATCGGTTCGTCGGTACTGTAGCGTTAGTGTTAAATAATTTACTTTGAAGATCCTTGGAAGGTCGTTTGAAAAACGCAATAGGGGTATCAACGATCGATGAGGATTTACGTAAGAATAAGAATAGAATCGGCCAGGGACTAACGAATTATCGGAGTATACCTACGATTAACAGGCTTAAGCAGGAGACATCGATGGTCTCTTTTACCTAGCTATGTCTGTCCCATTGCTGAATATAGCATCGCATTAAGTATGTATGGCGACAGTGGATTATTTTTAGCGGTAATGACTTTTATCGTTGACTATACCGACAGCCTCTATTAAGAATAAATGAAACTTTTCCTGGGCGTTCTCTCTGGTTAGACAACGTACAGTGAAATACTGAAAAAAGTCTATTTTGGGCCATTATTATCTGACACGAATAGGCTGCTTTAAAGCAGTCCGTAGAAAGAATCAACTTAGTACACGATTTAATAAAGAATTGTTTAATTTATTTTATTGAATTGTTTTTTTTTCATTAAATAAAGTGGAACTTGTGTATTATAATATTTATTATAAATATGAGATAATTATTAATTTTATAAATATGATATAATAAATATTAGAATACATAAGCCATACTTCTTCATTATTTTATTTATTGCATTTATATTATCTTTATATAATACAGGGTACATTATGCAATGACATAGATAAAGTTTCATTAGTTAAGTGGTATATGTGGTTGTTCCTGACGGGTATACTCACAAAAAAATGGCAAGGTTTCCAGAATGGCAAACTTACTCGTTGCGACAAGTTTTTGGTACAAACTTCTTAAAGAGGTCGCAACGGCCGACTGGTTAACACTATAACTACTGAACAGTCGATTTAATTTGTTATTTCACTATAAGAATTATAAGAATGCGTTTATTGTTTATTGATTACTAAATGAAGTTACTTCGTAATTTGTTCGGGTAGCATTTGTCTTTTCAATAGCTATAAAAGAAGAAATCAGGAATGAGCCATTTTGACCTATCCGGTAGTTCTAGTGTTAACACATTGCGTACCGACTAATTTTCAGAAAACTGAATTGTGCGGATGGCAATTTTCATTGAGGTCAACTTATATCACTATACACGGAGAAACTCAGATATCATATTGTTATGCAATATATTTTAAATAGATAATCAATTCGAATTAAATTTTATATTTCCTTCAATGCTGTGGTAATTAGCGAAGTTGCATAGCTAAGTGTCTTTATATAAAAACGAGATCTCTCGTTACCGGTACGCGATGTGTTAACAGTGACACGTTAATGTAAAATATAAGGCAATCTCACCTGACTGAACCCGAAGTCACCAAAAACGGCATAGGTGTTGGACACGGACTCAGGGGCGAGCTGCTGACCGAACTTCGGGTGCTACTTAGGACAGAATGTGGACATTGCGGCGGGCCAACATGTCCGCCGCCAGATGCACTTCCACCTTTACTCGAGGAACGTCCCTTCAGGCAGGGAATTTTCGACCATCCGCTAACATCCTTGCCCGACACACCTGCAGACAAACACGATGATTAGATACCATTACGACAGGAGGCGGCAGCTGTTCAACTGCTACAGCCAATGCAGAGATTATTTCGTATCGTGGTAATTAATTACGGTTACACTCCGACGCGTTCAACGAAACGTTAAACGAGGCCAGCACAATGCACAGTGGATAGGGATAAGGAAACTTTAATAGTTTCAATTATTTTTATATTATCTCTTTGCACTCGAGATGAGACTCACAGATACCACTTGATTTGATACAGCAGAACTATGAAGTTGAATATTTGGTATTTTAAATTAAACTTCGTATTGCCATGTGAAATATTTAAATAAAATAGCTTTGTAGCTGAATTTATTTGTGAACTATCGTTAGAGTAGCTTCGAACAATGTCATCTATATCTCGTCAGAAAATATTGAATACTTCTAGTGAAAACTTTGGAGTGCAAAGGTTAACCCCTTGGCAGTCGATGATGTCTGAGCGACGTAAGGATTGGCAGCTCAGTTGAATTAAAATTTAGTTTGTTGCACGTGGGTGCAGTGAAGAGTAATTTGCTATTATCAATGTTTTAACCCTTTGCACTCCAAAGGTGCCTCTCAGTCACCACTCGATTGATGCATCAAAATTGTAAAATTTCGTATTTAACATTAAGTCTTGAATGATATGTCGATACGTGGAATGTGGAAATAAAATACCATTGTTCCCCTTATTTTGTGAATACATTCCTCGTTGAGCTAGTTTAAAAAAATGTCATCTATATCTCATAAAAATAAATTGAATATTTCTAGTGATAAATTTTTGGAGTGCAAAGGGTTAAGTTTAAAGGAACCGTGCAGGTAACGAGGAATAGAAAAGCTATTTTTGATTTTATAAATTATTAATGGTAATGGTGATTTAACGGGCATTGTCGTGGAAATGGCTCGAGATTTTCACTGGGATTATCTTATGTCACTATATGTAAAAACTGAATAATTAGTTCTAATGAAGTTTAATATTTTTGAAATGGTGTATTAATTAGCAATGTGACATAGGTATTTATATAAAAATGGAATTTGTAAAATAAAATCAATGCGAGAAGAATTAAAGAATTATGATTGGAACTTCGTCTGTTTAATTAAGGTAAAAGTATCTCGAAATGTTTCTATCGAAGTAACAAAAGTGACGAAACAAAAGGTAAGAAAAGGCCGCTGTTAACAATGAAAATAATAAATTTCTTCTTCCATTTAATTTACTAGATTTTACTTATCTCTTATTGGACCCTTGGTATTAGACCAACCTTCGCGTTTCAATTACTAATTTTTACATATCCTTTAAGATACTTTTAATTAAACCCTGCTATCTCAATTACTTAATTTTTCTTATCTCTTACTGGATAGTAACTCTTTGTTTACACATAAATTATTAAAAAAATTGTGATTTTAAATAAACATTTGCAATCTACATAATATCACTCGAATTATAATATTTCGGCTGTGTTATTCTTAATCAGGTTCTAAGATCTGCAATCCAACTTGAGATTAACTTTTGCTGTAATTTTTTCAAGGACAGATGAAGGTTAAATCAAGTATAAAAGGTTCGTACGATTTTCTTGTTACTAACGAATTGTCGTCCAATTTAAATTAGTATTTCGCTGGTTTAATTAGTGAAATTGGCATTATCGAGTTATGTTTACACCGTTGGTATCAAATGAAATCAAACGATTTCACAAAAACGTTCTCTGTGCTAAAATTTTGATTTCGCAAATCACATGAACTTTTTCCGGTGCCTAATCTGAACTTATCAGACGCAAAAAATGATATTAGGCGAAGGAAAAGAGTTAATGTGACAAGTACATCTTGGACTCGTTTATTTCTGGATCTTGTTTCGTCACCGTTTGACCACATAATATACGATTGCGTGCCTTCGTCAATTAGTCTCTATTCTGTTTGGCCTTCGAGTGAACAGGTGCGATTAGATTCGGATTCAAACCTAACGTATCGAGCATTAGCATTACAGGGAGTCCATAGACCGTGCAACGCAATTGGTAAAGCTCTTTAGCATAGGAAACACTCGGAGTGCACGTAATTTACAAGTCCATCATTTCTTAATCAACAATAAGTTTCTGGGGATTAAAAGACACTTGCTCCACGGTTTCCCAAATTTCCTTTATTTAACACGTTGAACGCCGCATGATTTCATAAAGCAAAATATTCGAAATGAAAAAAATATAACATTAAATCACTTGATTAAATTACATTGTTAGTATTGCAAGTGCATTTAGCTAAATGCCACCACATTAACTAGCATTATTTATAATATAGAAATGTTTTCAAATAGTCATCGTTTGAGTGAACTATAGTAATTCCATTTGGTTGGGGATCACCGGTGACCCCCATGGCATTCAACGTGTTAAATCGTATAAACAATCTGTTTGAATAACGCAAATAAAGCTAGTCAAGATCACGGTGTCTGAACCAGAAGTGAGGATTGCTAAAATTAAATTGTACATTTACAAATAATCATTTCAACGAATTGTACTTTTTAATTGCTTCGTGATTTCAGTTTGGTTAATGGTAAATATCTGAGATAACCGATTTGAGAAATAATTCAAGTACTTCATAAACGTATTTTAATGTTGGTATCTCTATTCTCGGATTTATGTTATTTGACTTTACCAGGAAACTAAAGATATTACTTAAAGTAATGAAATAAATTAAGTAATTTAATTTCGAAGGTAACATCAGTCAATTTATTTGCATGTGATGTTATTTGGAGAGAAACTCGTTCCATACTTTTAAAGTAATTACTTGCCCTTTTCATGCATGATTTTCAGTTGAAATAAAAAGGGCTCTGACGGGAAACCATTTAATACCAACATTCGGTATTGAAAATTCCAAATTGAATTTCCTCTGATTCGATAGGTCTTCTACAATGTTGTTTTATTTTAAGTTTCATAGAACCTGCTACATTAGTTAACGCAAAAGAATTAATTACTCTTGAAAAAATAAAGTCTCATTTATCACTAGAACTATCGAATATTCGATGCGATTAATATCTAATGCCTATAAAAATTGTAACAATAAATTATTTTCAGTTTTCAGACATTCATTATAGTATTCAAACGAAACTGTTTACCTTCAAAACCATTTCGAATATCCGATGCTCTTAAGATACCAATAACTACGAAACAAAAGAATCAGAATCAATTATTTTGACTGACACAGTTCTACTGTTAAAACATTCTTAAACACTAGAACTACCAGATGGGTCAGAACAAATTATTTCTGATTTCCTCTTTTACAATCACTGAAAAGGTACAGATACTTCTACAAAAGATTATTAACAGAACAAATTCAGTAACAGCAAAACTGAAATGCAACTCAACTGAAATCTCAATAAACGCACGCTTATGGTTTCTATAAAGAAATTCGTAAAAGTCCGTTTAACTGATCGGTAGTTCCAGTATTAACGCTTAGGCAACCGCCTAAAAAGAACTATAACTAGAACCTCTTCCATTATCTTCAATTGAACTCATACAATTAATTTGGTTAAAACCTTGTTTTGTAAAAACAAGAACCGTAT